TTTCTGTGTCTTTAATGAGTGGCAGGTGTCATACTTATACTTTATGCACAGTATAGCATGGGAGTGGTAAAAACAGTATTGATCTTTATAAAGTTAATCTTAAAACATACATCTGATCCTGTCACTACTTTTTTTTTAAGATTTTATTTTTAAGGAATCTCTACACCCAATGTGGAGCTGGAACTTAGAACCTTGCCATCAAGAGTCACATGCTCTACCGACTGAGCCCACCAGACACCCCCTGTCACTACTTCTTGAAACCTGTGGCTTTTCATTACACTTTGAATAAACTCCTAACTCCTTCCTGAGGCCACTTGTGCCTGTCCTGGTGTGCCTTCCTTGTTCACCAGGTCCTAGCCATGCTGGCTACCTTTCAATTCAAGCGCTCCTCTGTGACAGAGCCTTTCATAGGAGCCTGTCCCCAGCCTGTTCTCAACCCATGCTCAACTCTTCCATAGGTTTCAACCTCCTCACTCCCCATTACTCTCTGTCACCCTGATCATTTTCTTCATAGCTCCCAGCACATAACAGAGGTAGTTGATGCTTGTCGTAGGATCCATGTGTGTTCCTGCCCCCACCCATGCCCCATCACCTGGCCCAGCACCAGGTGCTCAGCGCCTACCTGCTGAATGGAATTCAAGTGAACTCAAGGATGTACTGTCATCGGAGAAGTCTTCTGGGAAGTCAGAGTATTATTATTCGTCCTTCCCTCCTCAATAACCTTTAATCTTTTCCGCCTCCCATGAGGGTTGCTGTTTATTCTGGAAACATTTATTAAGTCTACCTAACGTGTGAGACATTGTGCTCACTGCTGGAGAGGACGCTGAGAGAGAAAAGCATGGTCCTTGCCCATCAGAAGGCTCTATGCAGGGAAGGAGACACCCACAGGAATAGCATCCATGTGTATTCCCAGCTCATCTAAGGGTGAGCTGGGAAGTTCTGTGGGGTCCCTCCTCATCCTCTTCTCACTCCACACCATCTCTAGATGATCTCAGAACCTTACAACATCTTAGATGATTCCCTTACCTAATCTAACCCAGCTCTCTCCCACAGGACAAATTCTGAGCTCTTTATCTAAAATTATACTGGGGTTGAATCGCTATACTGCACATTTGAAAGTAATGTAATAATGTATGTTAACTAACTGGAATTAAAAACTTGAAAAATCAAAAATAAAATAAGATTATACTGGTATTTTCTTTTTTTTTTTTTTTAAGATTTTATTTATTT